CCCCCCCCCTTCCCCCCCGCCCCCCACCGATAGCACCAGCAGCATCTGGGGGAGCCTCCCCCACTTGCCGCCGCCATGTCCCCCCAGCTGTCAAGGACACGCATCGTTCATGTCCAGTATCATATGGACAGGAGTCTCTTTAATATCAAGCAGTTATGTTCCAAATCCAAGATACACCTCTTTTACTGATCTTCAATTTTCTGATGATTGTCATGTGTGCCTACACAATTGAGGAGTTCCAGGTCACATGTATGAAATCCTTGGACTCTCTATTAACTTCACAGACAGCACGATCCTTTAACAACCTTCCCCAAACCAATCAGCTCCTCCACATATTGCAATTAGAGGGCTGTGCTTGGAGAATGTTGAGTCTTTCACCTACCTGGTAGCCACCTTTCCCAAAAAATAAACATAAATTATGGTATTCAACACTAGATGAAATCTGCCAGTGCATTTTTTGGACATCTTTGAAATTGCGTGTTTGTTGATCATGATGTCAGGACCCAAACCAAACTTCTCATCTATAAGACTTTTGTCATCCCTACCTCATTGTATGGGTGTGAAACCTGGATGACAGATCAGAAACACTTAAAAGCTTTGGAACGTTAACATGAGCTATGCCTTTGGAACATCCCCTATATCAAATGGAAGGAGAGAAGAATGAATGCCAGCATTCTGGTTCAAGCAAACATTACCAGCATTGAAACCATGTCCCCAGTGACACCATGATATACAGCAAGTCATCAATCATTTTGAGCAAACTCACCTCACTATGGAGGCAGATAGATAAGAGAGACAAAGGGAAAGAACTGTGTCACAGCATCACCAGGATCTACTCTTTCCTCTTGGAACTATTTGGAACACTGGGAACACTGCAGTTGAACATGCTAATCTCAGATTGGCCTCCTCAGTCATCTATGAACTCACCAGTGGCTTCCTTATTTACTGGAAGACTGTTGTCCCCCTATCAAGGGATTGCTGATGATAATGATGAGTTATGACCAGAAGATCTTGGTGGTCACTATAAGATAATTTAAAAAAAAAAATTAGCTACAACTAATATAAAAGGATAGTGTTTTACATCAAAGCAAAATTTCCTTTGATAATGGGGAGATAGGGACTCAAGGGCTGACATGGAAGCAGCATTATACAGTACATCCCTTAAGTAATTATCTGTCCCTGTATGGAATTGTGCTCAAGCAGGAAATAAAACAGCAATGATAAATTTTCCCTATAGAGTAGCAAGATGGTGGCTTCATTTAAAAATCACTAATTTTAATCATGATTTAATCAGCAAAAAGGAAACCTTGATTAAAATCGTAGTTATTTAATCTTGTACTTTTTAGGTAATTTCCTAAGGAAAGGTTGATTCTCATTAGTTGGTAACTGAAGAGATGAACCATCCTATGTTTACCCACATGTTCTTGAGTTTTGGAACTGTATCCCTGTGTCCCTGAAGAGTCTCTGAAAATAAACCCTTCATATCAAACTAGAAACATTGGGGCAGTTCTGTTGTGTGTGTTGAGAGGGTGCAACATCAAGCACTACTGGCTGCATATGACTGTCACTGTACTGTTCAAGAGATAGTTGTGGGCAAAGTTAACTGGCTCAGGCCCAGTGCTGCATTAATGTGGCTATACTAATTTAATTAGCTAGGAGAGATGGAGCTGTTTAGCAGTAAGGCAATTAAACTAACCAGCATTGGAAATACTGTAAATTACTTTTGGTTCTGGGGCTTATAGGACATCTGCAACTGTCCTGGATTTTCCTACCTGAAAGTTGGTCAGTAGTTAGTAGCTATTAAAATATGTTGATTTGCAACTAAATATAATGCCTTTATGCAAAACTCAATAATTCTTTTAGCAAAAAAGGGTGAAATGCCATAGCTTTACACATTTATTTAAGCAGGTGTTCAGTTTATTGTTTACTATACATTTTCATATTCGTTTTACCTTTTTTACATTAGAAATTGGTGAATAAGGCATATCTTATTTACTGGATGATGTATTTCTACTCATGATTTGTGTATTTGAGTGGGAAATGAAATTCAGTTAAAATGCACAAAACCAGTTTTCTAAACTTGTTTATTAGTTTAATAAAATCACCTTAAATAGTGTGATGGGTCAGAGAAAAAGTAAGTTTATAAAAAATGCTTTGTTTTAAAACTGGTATATTAAACAAAAAATATCTTTAGTTAGTGAATTGAACTGCTTGTTTCAGGTCATACTGTCTTTCCAGGTTTTAGAGTTAGTAGATATCATTCTGTCACACCTTCTTTCTACTTATATTTTTGAAGATGGAAACAAGTTTTCCTGCTTTTCCATTTCTTGCTCAGTTTCTTAATTTTGAACAAAGTGATATTTGAACCAAACTCGCTGAATAAAATGAAATGAAGAAAATTCTCACTGCATCTGAAAAAGAGGCTGCTGCTGTAACCCGATGGTTTAGAATTTCTCAAAAGTGTGGAGAAAAGAACAAATTACAGGGAGTTAGAAAACACTTATTGTGCCTCGGCTGGTCTGTGGGAACTGTGTATGTTCATTCTCTCCAGTAAGTAAAGGCTAACCCATAGCAGTTTAGCCCTCAGTGAAAGGAAGCTAAAGGGTAAGGGCTTGCCAACAGAAGCAGCACATGTCTCCCAGCATTATTACTGGCAAGAAGACTTTATATGTACATGTGTATGTACATGCTCCATGACCAAATCAGTCAGTAAAGAAAACCACCGTCATTGGAGTGGGAGTTTTCCATTCTGTGTTAAATATCAAATGGGAAGGAGAAATGCAGTCTGATGTTTGTACATAAAAAGTGCAAGTAAAGAGAATGAATGTCTACCTTAATGAAACGACTTGAATTGACTGCTACAGTTGGGTAGTAAAGCTGATGGCCAAGTTTCTGTATCTGACTGAGTAGCATTAGTTCCAGTGCACCTTTCCTCAGCCTAAATCTTCTGTCGGGGTGAAATATAAAATAGCGGCAATCTTCAAGCCAAAGAAAGTCTCAGAAAGGGGTAAAATGGGATGAGGGAGACACACAAAGTAGTATGTGGCAAAAAGATGAACGGCCTGCTCAGATATTGTTTTTAAAATGGACTGCAACTATAATTATATTACCTGGAGGCTGATGCAATATTGGTGCAAAAGAAGAGGCCTGGAACCCATATAGTGGAGTTGAAACTTGTCCACTTGTAACAGTGAGGGGTTGAACTGCTCCAACATGGGCAAGTGTTTAGTAGTACCTCTTTTTCCATGGACTAGTTCTCAGAGCTGCAGAATGCTCCTCAGTCAAATGTGTCCAATGATTTCAGAGCATCAGAGGCTCAATAAGAGAAGGAGGGGCTTCAGAGATAAGGTAATTCATAGGATGATAGGATCACAGAATGATTTTGTGATCTAGGTTGCTTGTTAACAGTCAGCAGTGGACAATCGTCAGTTCCACCCATGTGCTACACAGTAGTTGGTACTAAATTTCTACACTTACCAATAGTTATTTGAAGTGCTGCCACAGGTTTCTTCTGTAAACTATTTTGTATAATGTAGCAGGAGTGAATATATTTAGCAAGCATTATTTAATTATAATCTTTAAATGGAAACACCTATATGTAAAACCAGTTGGCATTCCTTCAGCTTTTAGCAGACAGACCTCAACATGCACAGGACACAACAGCAGTTGGCACTAGCTGGCATCTTGGCAGGGAGTCTCATCCAAGATGAAGAATGAGGACAGAAACAGAATGTCTCCCACAGATGTAAATGGTTGCCTCCATGTTAAATTCAAAGCATATTCTTGGGGTCAAATGAGAAAATATACCCCACCATTGCCTAAGTGGCAGGACTTTAATTTACCTTCTGCCTACACACAAGCTACATACAATGGCTACACACAAGTTGGTCTTTCCTATACCCAAGCTAGGTGTTACATGTGAGTGCATTTCCTTTCTAGTTGCTTATCAAGATCCAGTTGCATGTTTGTTGGTACCTGGTCCCATTGAGTACTCACATACAAGGCAATCTGAAAAGCAGAAGGGGCTAGTATGCTAGTTCTCATGAAAAAGGAATGGTTATGCCGTGGAGCCCAGAAGAGGAGCAGCTGAGGCATACTATAATATAATGAGGTTAATGGCTAGATCATCAGAGGCCACAGGGATAGCAGGTATACATAAAGACACAGGTCAGGAAGGGAAACGTGTTCAGTGGAGTGTTGTGATCTGACAGTGAGAAAATAGGCTGGTGAGATCTCCCATAGTTTTGGAGGTCCAAGAAGCATTCAAATGGAAGTTCTACATGGTATCCCATGCAGTAAACCACTGTGTACAGGAGATTTTTGTTGATCAGCTTCAGGTTGACTTGTAATTATTGAATGCTTGAGGTGGGGCTCCAAGGGGCTCTGGCCACTTGCTTTTCCTTTCTGAGAAGAGCGATACATTTGTAATTTTTAAGACAGATTTCCATAAGGAAAAATGTTTTCTGTTAGAGACAGCTCAAGTTGGAACAGTTTATGGCAAGCCTTCAATAGGTCCAAAATATTTTGTTAATACACCTTTCTAATAGAAAGCCAAATTTACTTTAGTGCGAGTCAGGAAATGCCTTCATTATAAAGCACGCTTGCTTCAGAATACTGTTAATTACACAAACAATGCATGGTACAAAATGCAGCTTGTGATTCAGCTCATAAAACTAGGCTTTTATAAAGCTATCCAGTGGGGGGGGAAATCATCATTTCCAGTGTTATTTTGAAGTTCTGTTCTCAGTGGATGACAAAGACTCTTCGAGCATTTATGATTCAGCCAAGGCTTCCTGATTAACCAAATAGATTGTAAGATTTCCCTGTGAAGATTATTTATACTATGTTTGGTTCTATTATATTGAGGTATGTGCAAGAACATAATTTACAGTAAAATGTCTCATTTTTCTTTCTGTCAGATAGCAGCTATAGATTTGCATTTAGATCCCTCTCTAAAAATTTCTGCTGCATGATTTTAATGGAATAAATTATTGGTCTCTGGTTCAGAGTCTTTATGAAACTCATGTTTCACAAACTCCACAACACTGTCATACCAACTGAGGCTAGCCAAAAAAGTAGAAGATAATAAAAAAGGGGAGGGGAAGGTTTTGCAATATTGACTAAACTTGTCATGATCATATCAAATGGGTTGATTGATATTTCAGAAAGGTGATCAGGACACCTAACCTTCCCAATGGAACAACACAGCTGGACTACAAAAATGGCTAGAAAAATGGAATACGTTAATGAAAAGGCCACAACTGAACACCAACAATAAGATTGTTTTCATGGCAACGTACTACCTGATGCCAATTATTTTTGGATTTAGAAACTGCCTGGAAATTAGAGAGGACTAGGGAATCACAGCTACATTCATTAAGAGCTGTATCTAAAACCCATTGACTTAAATGGGAGTTTTTGTACTGACCACAATGAGCTTTGAATCAGGCCATCAAACTCTGAGCTGTAGTTATACTACAGTGGTATGCATCCTTTTAAATGGAGCAGTTGTTTAAATGTCTGTTGACAACAGAACCACTTTATAGCAAGGTTGTTAATCAAGGAGAGATGCCATTATTTTTTGTTATGATTCTTCTTGACCGTGCACACAGAAGCAGGCAAAGTTTGGTTTTACATGTGTGAACAGTTTTATACTGGAAGAATTGCTTTTATGTTACTGTTTTTCTGACCCTTTATATATGCAGGATTCTGGAATTGACATTGGTGATATTTCTGAGAGGAAGGCCCTGAGGAAAAAGCTCCAATGCAAGACCTTCAGGTGGTATCTTGTTACTGTGTATCCGGAAATGAGGATGTACTCGGACATTATCGCCTATGGGGTGGTAAGGATCCTCTTTATCTTGATTGTTAAATAAAAGTAAAATAGTGAAAATATCTTTTTCAATAATATATGGTTCCAGATAAAAGAACCAGGCCAATCTAGGAATCACTAGTTAAATTGATGGACTGGCTGCTTATTTGATAAACTGCTGTGCTACAGTAGTTCATGCGAATACATTCCTGTATATTATTTCCTTTCCTGTTGTTCTTCTAAGGTATTTCATTAAAGTGTTGCATATACTTTATTAGAAGCTGTAGAGCTGTCAGCTGGAAAGTATTTGGTTTGTGTGTGCTTGGTTTTGCAAATGCAAGCTCCTTAATACAATAGCCAAATGTTGTATTTCCATTCTCAAATAGGCATGTCTGCACCTAGGGGTTATCATTGACATAACTTACTATTTATTTTATGAAAGCACTTAGAACTCTAATTGAAATCGGGGCACAGTTGTCTTGGCAATGGACTGAAGCCAGTACTCAAGCCTCTCTTCATCTCAGTCTTTTTTTCATTTCTTCTCTTTCACTTCTTTCCTAAGCTTATAGTGGAGGAAAGGTTAAATAGGTGGTGGAAAATGCAAATCAGCTGCTAGCTCCAGTTCTGAAGATCAGAATGAGCCCAGCACTAATCAGACAGATCTCATTTTCTTTGTTTTTGTGGATGGAGATTTTTTTTCCAGTATAAAAATGCTGCTTTTATTATAACAGGAAATTGGAATCCACACGTATTTCATTAATTGGTCAGCTACAGACTCAGATGCTATCATGCCATGGTGCGACATTGTAACCCCAAGTATTTCTGTGCTGCATTGTGAAGTTTGATGTAGAGATATCTGAATTATCTTTAAAGCTGAGCTGTTTCAAATACTGGTAACAGCCTAGCTAAGACTATAACAGAGCTCAGTGTGGTTTAGCTTGCCCTGCTTCTTGGCTAGGTTTCACAGCTGGTGTTGAACTCCATGTTACTATGGCTACAGTGTTTCTGGGACCTGAGCTAGCTTAACGCTAGCATGAGAATCTAATCTACATCACAGTGCACAGTATAGACAGATCCATATGCAGTACTTGAGCTAAAAAGTGAGCCATCTGTGATAGAACAGGATTAAGTACACCTGACCATGTGTACACGTGCCAGCTACACAGATTTCAGTTTTATGCCTTGTAGCAACACTAATGTTATACTAAACCGTTTTATTTGAACTATCCACAGGGTACCCTGTCCCACAATTTACAGAGTCAGTGTGATTTCATAATGCCACCAGTGTATACTGGGGCAGCAGTGGGTGGACTAATTGAAATGTTTCACATGGTTTAGATATGCACTGGCACTAAAGATGAAAGAAGACCTGTAGAAGAAATAAGAAAGGAAGGAGTAAGGTCAGTCAGGAAGACAGCAGACATTTATTCATTTAAGTGATATAACAAGCATAATGCAGATAGGAGCAAGCTTGAGCAATCACCAGAAAGGTAGAAGGAAGAGTAGTAAGGATGGATCAAACTGACACCAGGTATCCAGCAGTTACAATGAGAAGAAAGATTTTTTTTGGCTAAACTACCTGACTAAAAAGAATAATTTAATGTTTAATTCCCAGTTTGGTCACCAATTTCCTGTGTGACCTTGGCAAATTCCTCTCTGTCCCTTGGTTCCCCATTTGTAACATGGGAATAAGAATACTTTCTTTCTCCCACTATTTCTATATCAAGCTTTCCTTGGGCAAGGACTCTCTCACAGTGTAAGTTCAATGTCTAACACAATAGAGCTCTCAACTTGGTTGGGGTCGCTGAGTGTAACTGCAGTAGAAATAAAAATAATGTGTACCTTTTGACCTGTCCCTCTTATGGAAACAGTACTGCATCACGTGACACTAGGGAAATGTCATTAAATGAACCAATTTGATCCAATGTCTCTAAGAACAATAATTAAAAACATAAACTTTCTTTGCTTCATACTATAAGAAATACATTATTTCAAGAAAGTATAGCCCTCTCTGCTTCCCATGCATGTAACACAGAAGATAACTCTAGGCCACCTACATTGTTGCTCGGTCACTTGTTTTAGTCTCTATCTCAGAGGATGAAGGTTCTCAGAAGTTCTTCAGAATGTAAATTGTCTATATTTCCAGTGAGGCACCCAACAAAGCCTTTTATCGTTTTTGAGAAGGAAAGCTCATTCAGAAGCTTAGATAAATTGTTCAAGGAAGCCTTTTGTTCTTTGTGCTTGCATGGATTGTGTTCTTCTGAACTTATCATTTGACAAGATCTTACTATGAAAATGTAAATAGTGGAGGATGCCTTATGGTCATGTTTAATTGGCACCAGGACAATCATCTAAAGTGAATAGAAGAAATATCAGAAAGCTCTTCTTTTTTCATTATATTTTGCACTTTATTTTCTAAAGAAAGAATTAATATTCAAGGTGTAACATGTATTTTAAAGGCAAGAAAGGAGAGGAATTTTTCCCCCCATGTGCCTTAACTCACATTACTGGCTGAATTTATGTGGATCAGCTAAGGGTTACGTGCAAGTATGCCAGTTGTGAATGCCTTTTGAAGATTTGGCCCTGGAAGGGCTAATTTCTTCTCCAGTTGAATAGGACCCTATGCAGTCCTACTGAAGTCAGGGGGATTCTCATGGATAAAGGAAGAACTTGGCCAGCGGCATTTTTTTCAAATGCATTCTTAACCTCACTTAGATGAGTGCCTTCAATATGCCCATTGCCCACACTCTGGTGATTATGATTTTATTAAAAAAAAAAAAAGGGAGGGGGATATGATTGAATATAATTCTTGGTCTTCTAGTATAACACACATTTGTTTTCCTTTTCTCTGTATGTATTGCAGCTGCAGAATTCCCTAAAAAGTGATTTGTGCCTTGATCAGGGGCCAGACACAGAAAATATTCCAATCATGTATATCTGCCATGGAATGACACCACAGGTTAGTATGACTAACGATCTCATATATTGCTGCTGCTCTTAGTGCACTGTGTAGGAGGAACCATATTGTAACTGTCAATGTTTTTCCAGCTACAGTACCTCCTTAGGCTGTTTATTAGCCATTTTATAGAAAATTGGAACATTATTTGTGCCATAATGTTGAGAATCACTGGTGTATTAATTAGTGCTTTGACAAGAAAGCTTATTTATTCATTTTGGAAAGGTATAAGCAACAAGAGGAAAAAATTAGAGCTACATTTACCAGGAATTGTTGGCATTAGTTTATATTATTGATCCTTTTTAACTGTGCCCCCCATATGACTGAACAGTATTTTTGGAGGCTTTCTATATATATTTAAAGCAATATTTTTCTTATTTCAGTTGCTGTATTTACTGTTTTATTCCATCAGATTTGAAATGTTTCAACCCTGTACTTCCATTTTCCTCACAGAATGGTAGTAAAAAAAAAGTGAAAGCCTTTCATTAAAGGATTTTCTTATAGTCCCTAATGCATGTTCATTATTCAGTATATGCCAAAAACTTAAGTTATCAAAGTCAGTGCATTTTCTTATGCGACTGCTGGATTTAATAACTAAACAAAGCAGGGGGGTTTACAATGTAGACTTCCTTGCGTGGCTAACAATTTGGGCATGAGTAAAAGCATTCTTGGCAAGTTTGACAGCAAAAACTGTATGCTGCATAGTCCAAAAGGTACTTGTCAAAAAACAGACCGTACAAATTACCTGAGATTGTGAGATAATTTTAACTAAAATGTGAAAAGGAAAGAAGTCCTATATATGAGGGTGATTGAAGGCATTTACTCTGTCCTTCCTTCTTTCCCAATTTGTGCTTTTTTCTAGTTGACAGTAACAATCAGTTGAACACTTAGTTGAAAAATTTGAGTGTGGTTTTTATGCAAGCATTGTACAAAAGAGCCTTCTTATCCTTCATTTAAATAAACATGGGGGATGTAGCAGGAATTTGAATTGATCACCCAGCAAGGGAGGATCATAACACAGGTAAGGCGTAAACAAATGCACATCAAAAAGCTAATGGTGACCTTCCATAGCTGTATACCTTACTGAGCTGGGAATTTAAACTTGATAAAATAGTGGGTCTGATTGTTTAATTCCTTGCAAAGTGTTATGCTCTGCATTTTCAGCTCTGCACTGTCCCCATTACTGGGAGCTTTAATATTGATCATGAGTGGGATCATGCTTGAGTAAATTATGAATGATGAAGAGAAAAATATCTGAAAGTCCCATCTATCATGTTCACTCACTGCACAGGCTGCAGCTTATTTTTCACATAATTATGCTGATAACAAGTGTTTGCCTCCAGGAGCTTTTTAAGCTGGTCCTCATTGTTAGCTAAGTAACTACCTATCTCCTGTGTAATTCATAAGTTTGCTACAGTCATTATTCTTCACCTTCTGGGAAGGTGCCATAATTCTCTTTGGCATATCATCTCTGATAACCACACTCTACATTCACTGTCATAAGTTCAAATTTAAAAAAATTAATTACAGTTAAAAGGCAAACAAGAAAAGAGCCCCTTTAATTAGCACCATTCAGTGTTCACCACCCATGAATGTCTGTTGACACTTTTCGTTCTGCATAAAAGAGACCATAGTAAAACAAATTATATAGACAAAGTGAGGGGTGGGGGTGGGGGGAGGATGACACCTCATCAACAGGAGCATGCTCTTTCTATTATTATAAAGTTAATCGCATTTCCTTACCAATTAACATGCATTTTTGAAGCAATGACATGGTAAAGCAAATAAAAACTCCATCCAAGATTATAAGATAGGGGAGGTCTCTTTCTCAAAGGGGGAGCTTGCTTCACCTGCATGGTAGTGTCCATGTCCTTGGCCCAACTAGGTACTGTTTTGATAGTACAAAGTGCTTGCTGTTGATTCAAGAGGCCTCAGGAAAACTTCCTGTGTGAAGAGAGAATTTGTAGGTTGTTGTGCAGAGCGATGCTCTTTCTCCATCCATAACATATCATTCAGTAAACATGTCTTAAATGCCCTAAAACAGGTGCTGACAGGGAATCAGTTCCACACTCCATTGTATTGAATGACCCTACATTTGTCTTCCTTTATGTACATGATGCATTAACAGGTGTCACAATCCCAAATATGCCTCAAAAAGTTACTAGATGCTTTTTCAGGATTGTACCTCAGATAGTTTGGAAATCAACACAGCCAAATCCAAGGTATTGTTTTTTGTGAATGGAAGGAAAAATGACTTTGGTTTTCACACAAAAGAAACTAGAGTTGACTTTTTCTTTAAATACCCTGGAGTCTATTTTAGCAAAATATCTGAGCTGGAATAAGCACATTGAAATATTAAACACTAGAACAAAATAATCCCAACACCAGAGAAAAATAATTGCTGGGTAGAGTTTTATTCTTTTACAATAAGATGGGCAGAGTAGTAGTTCTGGCAACACTAAAGGGCTATAGATTTAAGGTAGATTCTATTTCATTGTATGAAGCAGAATTTTGGAGTGCTGACCTTATGGTATACCCAAGAACCAAAAAGATTTTTAATTTCTTTTTTAAGTAGGCTTTTATCTCTACCTAATTCTACAGTGGGAGAGAGTGCAGGGGTTCATGTGTTCTGAAATCAGACTGATAAATGTGAGCACTTTACCTCAATTAAGAAGTCTAAGCTATTGGATGAAGATTAGATCTTTTACACATACCAAATATCCTAAGAAATGCATTCCAGAAACCCCTCCTTTGCCAAATAAACCCACCAGACAAATAGCCTGGAAAAAATACTGAGGACCATTGACCCAGTATTCCCCTGTATTTAAAATGGGACATTCATTTAACAATTAAAGATGCCAGCATGCATACATATGGTGTAGTACATACAGTTCAAGCAGTGAAACTATCTTGAACTTCCCCTTTTTATAAGATTAATAAAGGCTCCTTTGGCGTAGAAACCTACCTGTCTGCTGTGCAAAACTACAAATGAGAAACCACGACTAGATTGAGATTCACTCTAATGAGATCTGCAGTTGTCATAGGCAGGTGGTGTCAAACCCCACATTCAGACAGACTATTTTCTTGTATTAAGACTGAGATAAATGGTTTAAATCACTAAGTGTGGTCTTGTTTGTTATTTCAAAAATAAGAGGAAAATTGATCCATTATTGGAACATTTAAATACTGGGCTAATGAAGAAAACAACCTGGCTTCTAACAGTTCAGAGCCTTTTCTATACCCCTTAGGTGTATTTGTGTTACTTGCACAAAGAATAAGGGCCAAAATCAAATAGGATTTTCCTGTTCAGTTTTATTGTCTGCTGTTTTGGTTTATTTCTTCGTTTATATCATCATACACAATATTCTGTTTTAATTTAGCATAAAATGGTAGAATTGATCATTTTACTCTGTTTTTAGCAAAAAATATAAATGGTATAAATGCTGCTATTCTATTGTATTTAATTTCTGTTGTTCATTTTATTGTATTCTTTTGGTGAAAGCTATGTATAAACTGCTGCTACTACATTAAACATCACCTTACATCATGCTGGCAGCTCAGAAGGATATTGCCAATGGCCAAGGGCCAACACAAGTTAGTCCATTCCCAGTGTTCTACCTTGGCATGGCAGTTTTGTGCCTTTTTTAATTGTTTTCTGAATATGTAGCACCCCAGTCACTGCATCTGAACTTCCAGCTTCTGGGCCCTTCCATTATTTTCTTTTTTTAGTCTTTTTATGGCCAAATTCTGTGCTGATGAAAACTGGCACAGCTCCATTGAGTTCAACAGAGGTGCACTGATTTACATCAGCAGAGAATCTGAATTTATGTAGTTTTGTAAAATGAAAACAATTGAGGAAAAAAAAAGGAGGAAATATATGGACAGATTTACTGATTGTGATATTTGTGAAGAGCAAAAAAAATTCAGCTCTTTCTACATTATTAGATGCACTGATTTAGTTGCAAGCATACATGTGTGTGTAATGTTACTGAGCACAAGATATACAGTAACATCATTTCAGTCAAAGTAATTATTTGCTGGACTCATGGATTATTTATACATGTGCTCCAGGAGTGGGGAGGATGCACTTAAATTAGAGTGGTTCTGAGAACAGCTCTAATTAAAGCGCCTGGAGCATCTCTTGTATCAGCACCCCTGTGCTGAAAAATGGTGGCAGGGCACTTTCAAGCTTTAGTTAAAATGCCCCTACTGCCGTTTTTCAGCGTGTGGACATTGATACACAAGATGCTGGAGTCTGCTGGAGCATGGTAACTACTGTGCTCCACCACACCCGATTAATCAAGTCTGCTCTGACGCGCTGTAATTACAGCACAGCAGAGCAGTCTCATTGCTCTTGTATAGGTACTCCAAATGCTGAGAAAATGCTGCATAAAAGTTGAGAATAAATCTTTAATTTGTATATCCTAGCAGTGGAGTATACCCAGTGATAGATATGTAGCCAGGGAGACCATTTTAACTCATTTAAAGAATTTTGATAGCTATTATAATTGCATCTCTAAATCTTTGTTTCCATCAGATTTTCCTTTGAATAGGAATAAAAGCATAGTGCCAGTAGGACTTTAAAAACTCTGTATTCATTGTCTCATACATCCTTAAGTCAGGATGTGGAGTGAAGGGAAAAATACAGTTTGGCAGTGATGGGTAATGGCAGAGGGATTCAGAAACCCACAATCAGAAACATTGGGATAAGAAAGGATGGGAGAGAGGTGATTAATGAGTTGGGAGAGAGAGCTAGTTTGGGGCCCTTAAAATGGCGATATTCAATTGATGTAAATTGATAGTGCTCTATTCTCATCTAAAGTGTTAATGGCAAAAGTCAGGTATCAAGGTTGTAGCCATATTGGTCTATAGGCAAAAGGAATGAAAACTCATGGCAGAGGTGATATCTTTTATTAGATCAACTAGATATTTGCAAAAAAAAAGTTATTTGCAAGCTTTTGAGCACAGGTACCGTTCATCAGGCCACATTTTAGCCACTTTTA